ACACACGCACACACACACACACACAGACACACACAGACACACGCACACACACACACACACACACACAGACACACGCACACACACACACACACAGACACACACAGACACACGCACACACACACACAGACACACACAGACACACGCACACACACACACACAGACACACACAGACACACGCACACACAGACAGACACACATACAGACAGACAGACAGACAGACACACACACACACACAGACACACACACACACACACACACACACCCTCATCCTCCTACTCACTTTCACAGTGCCTTTGCTGCTGAAAATTTCCTTTGGCTTACGCAGTCCATTCTCAACTTTAATGTCACTTTTGAGGGGCGCACTGTCCTTCTCTGCACGCTTGCGAGCACGAAGCGTGTTCCACGAGAGAGATTTCCTGTTGTGTCAAAACATCAAGTTTCATCACATCAAACCCACATACGCTGGAGGAAATGCAAATCTTAACAGCGAGGAAAAGCAACTTAAAAGTGCTTGAGGGGAAACATTTTCTCAACAGGGAAATAGGAGGGTCCACAAAAAGAAAAAGCAAGACACTCGATACCGATAACCTATTTTTAACATTAGCAAAATGTATGGAGTATCTATCATCCATTTCCAGAGACCTCAGAAAGTACAAATACACATTGTATTTCAGTATCACACAAGCATAACTGATTTTTTGTTTTATCATATTTAGTACTCTAGAATCTATCAGATCTTGCATTATATCTAAAACACTACTGTTCAAAAGTTTGGGGTCAGTAAAACGGATGTTTGTTTGTTTATTTATCTATCTTTTAAAGAAATTAATACTTTTAGCAATGGTGCATTAAATTGATCAGGAATGACGGTAAAGACATTTATAATGTGTGTAATGCTTTATAAAGGGTTATTAAAGAGTATAATGCATTCTAATTATTCATAAAGTGCATTGTAATACTACTTTTATAATGCATTATACAGAAAGGCTTTAAGTAAAGTGTTATCGAATACTGTTATTTTAAACTGTGATAATAATAATAATTTGCAATGATACAGTTTTAATTCTATTTTTGATCAAATAAATGCAGCCTTGATTTGCATAAGCGACTTCTTCCAAAAAATCTTACCGACTCCAAAATTTAGAACAGTAGTCTATGTATATAAATCTAATCTATAAAGCTATATCCTTACACCATGGTGGACACATGGTTTGTGTGAGAACAGCAGTCATTCATATCATTCACAGCTAACACTGTTTCACACACAAACCTTTACTGTCAAGGACCGGAGAGGTTAGTACAAACACAAAATAAGTCTTCTACACACTACATTACAAAATGAAACAAATTAAAGAAATAAATCAAAATAAGGTGCACCACTTTTACACTCTAAACAAAATGGATTTCTTAAAATGTACTATTACCATTTACTTGGAATTATTATACTTTGTGAAATTGTGAAAACAAAAATAAAACTATGTATTTGTGGTGTTAAGTCATGCGCATGTCAAAATTTTATTTTACATATTTAATATAATACATTTAAAATCATTAGTTACACTACAACATTGCAACTGTAGTTCTATTGCACAAACCTGACTTTATTAATAAAGGTTCACTTAAATAGTGCAAAAAGCTCTTTACAGGAATGTGCCACAAACAGTAAACAAACCAACAGTATTTACAGTAAACGGCCAACATGTGATCCTGTAGAAGAAACAAAAGAAAAAAAAATCTATACAAAAATACAATTAAAACAAATACACAACCTATAAAAAAAAATTGCCATAGACAACAGTATATGCTCTCCATCAGAAGAAACAGGCCAAATTCTTCAGAAGGACTTTCTTTCACTTTTTGTTCTCTTTTCACACAAATTATAACAACAACAAAAAAACAAAAACAAAGAAACAACAAAAACAGGGTGTTAGGAACTGAAATAAGTGTCCAGACGTATCCGTTTCCACACTGATGTAAGATTCTTCACAAATCCTCAGTCTACAAAACAACAACACCGTGGCTTCGCTAAAGTCCTTTCAACATTTATCTGTCTTTGTTTTTAACTTTTAGCCAAGAAAAAAAAAAAAAAAGCTCAAGAAGAAAATCAAAACTTCCTGTGCAAAAGGGTCCAAAACATCCGGGTTAGTTCCAACAGAATGGGGTTGGGGGTGTTCAAAAACGGGCGTGCAGTCTTAAACAATCCAATCAGAGCTCCAGTTAGTGTTGATTGACACTTACTTGATGTTTGAGTCTGCAGTAGTGTCTATGAGGGGTTTAGCGAGGGGGCCCAGGATGTGTCCCGGCACCCAGCCCTCCGCGGCCGGCGACTGGCTGTTAGCGGGTCGGTACACCAGGTACATGTTCTGCTGGTTAGTGGCCAGTATCTGCACCGTCTCACCCTGCGTGACGCAGATCTCGTTCTCTTTCAGTGCATTATAGTCCTGAGTCACCATCAGGGAGGACGACGTACCGTTACAGCCCACACCGTCAAACTGCTGTAGGACACACACACACACACACACACACACACACGCATACACGCACACACGCACACACAAATAAAACACTTAATATGCCAACCAAACCTTAAACTTCAGTAGTCAAGAACACATTAGCACCTTTTCAAAGGATATGTTAATATGTCAGTTGCACTTTATTTTACAGAGTGTGCACTTATAGTACATTGCACTTAGCTAAGAAAGGTTAATCCTACATGGATTAAGGTTAGGTGTAGGAGTAGGTTCAGGGTTAGTACCTAGTTATTACCAAGTTATTGTAAGAAGTCGTGGCCTAATGGTTAGAGAGTCGGACTCGTAACCCAAAGGTTGTGGGTTCGAGTCTCGTACCGGCAGGGATTGTAGGTGGGGGGAGTGAATGTACAGCGCTCTCTCCCACCTTCAATACCACGACTGAGGTGCCCTTGAGCAAGGCACCGAACCCCCAACTGCTCCCCGGGCGCCGCAGCATAAATGGCTGCCCACTGCTCCGGGTGTGTGTTCACGGTGTGTGTGTGTTCACGGTGTGTGTGTGCACTTAGGATGGGATAAATGCAGAGCACTAATTCCAAGTACGGGTCACCATACTTGGCCACATTTCACGTCACACTTTAATTACTCTAATAAGTAGGCTACATGCTATATACATGTGGAACAGGACTGTAAAATTAAGGGTATAGCGCTTTATTTTACAGTCCTGTTCCTCATGTACATACTATGTACTTATTATATTAATTACAATAACTAGGTAATAACTAGGTACTAACCCTGAACCTACTTCTAAACCTAACCCTACCCCATGTAGTTACCAGGTATTACCAGAACTTTCTAAGGTAGGTACACTGTAAGTACATGTAAGTACACGTACTGTAAAAAAGTGCAACCAAATTCTCTGTGGGGTGTTTTTCAAGTGTCCAACTCCCTGCTGAGGGGCATAAAATCAAGGATAGAAAAAAGCTGTTCATTTCTAAACAGTGAAGAGTGAATATCTCTGTATTGCAAGTCGTTTTCACAACCTAATTTCATGATTTGAACATTTTCAAGTCTATTTTGGGGTTGTAGGGACATTGGCGAATTCGCTATAAAACAGTGTGGTCACATTTACCGTTGCTCTACAAAATTACATGCAAGGGATTCAGGATAGTCACAGAGATTTTTTTATTAACAGAAAGCTGCTTGGTTTGAAAGTGACTTCTGTGTGAGCACTGCTTCGTGCATCACTACATTATTGACAATAGACATTGGACCTTTTTACGCAAAATTTCGCGAATGTTCGTAATGTTTACTCAAAATGTTCAATTTAACCTTCCAGAGAGATGCAAGACTTCTCCAATCATTTAGTCAGCATAAACCCGCCAATTTGAGCTTGCGTTCATCTGCCTCCATTTTTGAGAGCCACGCCCACATCTCAACATCCAATCAACACCTGATGCATAGAACCAAGCCCCCGTCCTGATTTTTTTTCTTTTTCAATAATCGTATGTGTGCCAACATACAGAAGAAAAGATCTGTCACTACTTCCATTTCATTGCGATTTTAATCTTTTAGACAACACTTGGAAGCAACAGAATCCAGTTAGGTAAGCTGTCAAAATGAGCCGATGGACAGTAACGGTTCCTCAGCATTATTTTGGAATATGGTCATGTGACTAACTACAGGTGGGGCTCTACCCTCTCTTGTGTAGTCTATGGATTAACAGCCATCTGAAAATCATGGATGAGTGACGCAAATATTCTTGCGAAAAACATCATCATTCAAGTGTGGATTTCTATGGAGTCAGCATAAACTCTAGCGTGCAGATGTTTAATGTTAGCAGAGGTGCTGTGTCCTCACCCTGTGGTATCTGTCGTGGCACGGACCACTGCTGGAGGTAGTTAGCTTTATGGGAGTGGAGCTCCGTCCAGACAGAGAGGGTTTCTCTGCCCCGAGAGACACAGTGGAGCTGGGCCTGCTGTTGGCCTGACCCACTCGCCCACCGCTGGAGGAGTTTCGGGTCAGAGACTGAGAGCCGCTGCGCTCCTTCTGATACTCGATGGGAGACTGCAGAGCTGTAGACAGGTGCACCAATGCTTTCAATAGCTCAACAAAAGGAGAGTCTATTTTATTCATATCGATGTGACATCTTACCTGACAAGAAGTTGCTCTGTAAGTCTAGTAGCTCGGTGATATGCTGAACCCAGACCTGTTTAATGTCTGTGTTTGCAGCTTGCAGGGTGAAACGCTCGGCTGAGCCGCGACACGACAGCACAAACTTACAGGGATCGTTTTCAACATGCTCTTCCAGGCCGAGGAAGCTCACCTGCACACACACACACACACACACACACACACACACACACACACAAGTCAGTATCACACCTGGTTTCAACTTTTCTAAATTTCAATGTTTCGTTGCTGTGATCTGTGAACCCATAAACTAGTATCTACATGGTTTTTACCTGATCTCGGATCAGTTTTATACATATGTAGATATTTTTAAAGACACATTTGTAGAGCGTTGTAGTTAATAGTCTCCTATTGGCCTGGATATCCAAGCTCTCAATAAAACAAACAAAAAAACCTTACAATATACTAAAATTAGACGTATGATACAGACACTTCATGTCTAATGGTATAAGATGATTTGTTCATTTCATTTAGTAGATTACACTTTAAATAGAACATTTGCAATGTTTTGTAAAAGGTGTTTTTAGGCATGCTTGGGCTGCGTTTTCATTGCATTTACAGGCATCACCAGCGGGTGGCATTTAGAGTAAAGTGCAATTGAACTTTGCAAATTCAAGTTTCATTTCTGCTATCACTAGGTAGTGTTGCCACCTTGTGGACAAACTAATTAGTGCAAATAAATCTCAAGGCACTGGCACATATGTGTGTGTGGATATGTGGGTAGAAAAATCTGTATGCATAAAAAAATTCAATACACTTTGGGATTAAAACAACAGCGAACATGTTACATGACTAAGAGTGGTGCGGTTACCTTGATGCTCTTTTTAAACTGGTATCCTGGCGTGGACGAGCCTTTGCGTAAGAGCTCGCTGAAGATGATGATCTGTTCAAACAGGAAGACCCTGCGCTCCTTACTGCGGGACAGAACGCCAGAGTCCTGCTCCGTCACAAAGAAAGTCTCCTGCTGCAAGAGCTTTCCCTGACTCGTCAGCTTCCCCTGAAGCACACAAACACATCAGTCTGACAGAGTCTCAAACATTAAATGTTCCAATTGTGGAGAACTCTTGATTCATGTTAAAATGCTAAATTTAAGGATAGGATTAAAGAGAGTTGCCCTAAAATGTCAAATTCTGCCATTGTCACCCTCATGTTGTTCTAAACCCATGTTTGTTTGTTTTTTATGTAACTTGAGAGATTTCTGTCCCTCCATTGAAAGTTCATTCCGCCAAAACTTTCAAGCTTTAAAAAGTTAATAAAGAGATCCATATGAATCAAACAGTTTCATCCAACTCTTCTAAAGGGAAAATATTACTTCATATGATTAACAGATTCAGAAGAGAGAGCAATAGCATACATCAAATATGGTAAATGGAATCCCAACCATACTTGAAACAAACCTCACTGGGTTTTGTGAAAATTCAAACATGCTTGCGTGTTACAAGCTTCCACTTACAATATTTGATGGGCGAAAGAAGGTGCTTCAGATTATAAAAAGGTAAGAAAGAGATGCTTCTTTAAAGAACCTTTCACTGAATGGTTCTTTGTGGAACCAAAAATGGTTCTTCTATGGCATCGCTGTGAAGAACCTTTAAAGCACCTTTATTTTTAAGAGTGTATGCATGTGACAAACCTTGACAATGAGACCGAAATCGCTCAAGTTTCATTCAAATATTTCCATTTGTGTTTCAAAGATGAAGGTGAGTAACTGACGACAGTAGAACACCCCTTAAATCACGGTAAAATCACTGTAACCTTTTACAATGTCTTTTCAGTACGCTTGCTTTGATGAAACTTCGGAACGAGTACAGTGAAGTTTTCAGTGTACCTCAAATCCCTGCAGTCTTCCCAGGTTCATCATGTCATTGCACAGCTTGGGCACCTGGGACATCAGGTCTACTGCTTTCTGTTACAGAGAAAACCAACAGAAACCTGTATCACAAGCTGCTTCAACAAACTTTACAAAAACCTAAAAGGCATTACCCTCAGTTTATGACTGACCATTCGTTTATTATTTAAGACATGTACTTCAGCTTCATTTTTACCTCTATATCCTGACAATCCAACCCTGCCTTTGCGCTGTACTTCAGGAAGTCCTTAACCGATAAAAATATTAACAAATTAATTATATTAGAAATTACACACATTAATAAAACATTATTATTCACCATCGATCACAGCCTTTATACCTTTAGTAGCAGTTGGTATTTAGTAATTCTCTGAATGGGTTTAATGAGAAAATCACTGATGCTCAGTCTTGAGTTGACGTCTTGTTGAATCCCCTTTGAACCAAAACAGACACACGATTTTACACTTGCAATGATTAATTGTTTGTTTTTCATTTTAGAGTGATTTTATAGAGTCCCAACTCCCATGAAATCCTGATTCCATTGTCCCAGAGTTAATGTTACTTGTCCCAAACAAGGGGACTACAGAAGTTGTTGGGACATTAAATGTCATCACACTGAACTCATCCACACACTAGCTCACTTTTACAGCCTTCTTGTGTTCACAATCATGCTCTTGTAAACTATACTAACTCAAACTTTCCAATGTTCTAAATAAAGACTGAAGAAGTTGTCTGTAGCTACTGTAAGTGTCGGTGACTGTAGTGTAGTTTGTATACAACTCGTATATAACATTAGCTTTTACTTTTGCTGATTGTATTTAGGCTACAATATTCATTAAAGTTGCGTTCATTTGTGAAGATTATCCTCTTGAGTAACTTTTTTTGGTCACAGAGCTTATTTACTGCAATAATCTAAAAATCCTATTGGGTTTTTGTGGAGGGAACCAGGGTAATGTTAACTTCTGTCATCACTGCAGCACTCTATTGCAGTAATATAAATTGTGTGTTACCTCGAAGTATGAATCGTATTCTGCAACAATGAATTCAGATTTGGGTTTGTTCTGGCAGTAAACCACATACATGTGCAGTCTTCTCTCCTAAACACATAGAAGCGAAACACTTCATGAGCAATGCCTTTACACGGCTAACACATCAGACCTGATGTCAGTCACATACTCACATGTTTACTGAACAGCCCAGGCAGTTTTTCATGATCTTCAAGACATTTTTCCAGCTCGCCAACAAAAAAACTTCAGACAGCAAATAAACGTTAAATTAGTTCCATATTAGTCTTTTTTCAGTAAGAGGAGCTGAGAGAATCTGAGGCGCTTACTCTTTGTGCCAGTCGTAGATTTGGTGAATGTTTCCAAAGACGATCTTATCTTTCCCTTTCATATCATCAGGAACTCCTTTCTCCTCTATTCGCTTCATAAACCCCTTCAGAAAAAAATGATTTCATATACCACTTATACACGCAAGTTCATAAAGGCAACGGTACTTCACATGTCTGTCTACAGCTGCTGTAAATGATGATAAATGAACACTAGGATGAGAGCACATTCACCCTGAGCAAATAGTGATGCAAATAAGTAATTACACTGCCAATGATGCCAAATGAGAAAGATGCAAATGGCTTTGATCTTAAGACAAAAGACAAATGAAGAAGAATAGCAATAGTAGAGTGTTTTAAGACAGCATTTTCATGCTAAAGTCAAAATATGCCTATAGTCACAGAATTGACCTATCGGTAAGCCCCGCCCCCTTAGTTACTGTTGCGAACTCGGCCAAACAAACTTGTTGCTAGTTGCTCACTGTCTTACAATGACAGCTGTCAGTGTGAAAACCTTGTCCCTATATGTTTTTGATAAAGTTTGGACACAGAAGGGCCACCATTCAAGTGGGACTTAAATATGCCATGGAGGGATATATAAAAGATTTAAAAATAAATATGGTGGGTATTAATTTGGAAGTGAGGGTTTACAGATCACAATGCAAGCGGGAGAAGCCTCATGTTACGGTCGTCACGATTGCAGATGAAAAAATCCCGGATCAACACTGTTCATGTATCACAGGGTAAGATTATATTAATTTACATTTAACCAGTTTAATATGAAGAGACAGTGAAATGTAGACCTTGGTTTATGTGTTTTTGCCCTACACTGTACATGACGTGAGAACAGTTCGCTATTTAGGTTTGTACATTAGCATGGACTCACTAACTTTAACGTTAGCTAGTATTAGATACCTCGCTGAAACACAAGATGACATTAAAGGAACACTCCACTATTTTTGAAAATAGGCTCATTTTCCAACTCCCCTAGAGTTAAACAGTTGAGTTTTACCCGTTTTCAGAACCCATTCAGCCGATCTCCGGGTCTGGCGGTAGCACTGTTAGCTGTAGCTTAGCATCTTCTGTAGTTACATCGTGTACTAAGACCGACGGAAAATGAAAAGTTGCGATTTTCTAGGTCGATATGGCTAGGAACTATACTCTCATTCCGGCGTAATAATCAAGGAACTTTGCTGCCGTACCATGGGTGCAGCTGGCGCAATGATATTACGCAGCGCCTGAAAATAGTCCCCAGCACGCTCCCTGTGCAAGCAGGTGGTCACGTTGGTTATGTTGACGGAAGTTAGCCTATTTTCAGGCGCTGCGTAATATCATTGCGCCTGCTGCACCCATGGTACGGCAGCAAAGTGTCGTGATTATTACACCGGAATGAGAGTATAGTTGTACTAAGACTGACGGAAAATGAATAGGAACTATACTCTCATTCCGGCGTAATAATCATGGAACTTTGCTGCCGTACCATGGGTGCAGCTGGCGCAATGATATTACGCAGCGCCTGAAAATAGTCCCCAGCACGCTCCCTGTGCAAGCAGGTGGTCACGTTGGATATGTTGACGGAAGTTAGCCAATTTCTGTTAGCCATATCGACCTAGAAAATCGCAACTTTTCATTTTCCGTCGGTCTTAGTACACGATGTAACTACAGAAGAGTCAAGTTTTAAATAGGAAAAATATCAAAACTCTTTGGTCATTTTTGAGCGAGATGCTAACGGTCTAATCAGATTCAATGATCTATGCTAAGCTACAGCTAAAAGTGCTACCGCCAGACCCGGAGATCGGCTGAATGGATTCAAAAACGGTAAAACTCAACTGTTTAACTCTAGGGGAGTTGGAAAATGAGCCTATTTTCAAAAATAGAGAAGTGTTCCTTTAATGTTCTGCTTGAGCAGATGAAAATGAGTGTATGACAACCAGAAAATGAACGTTTTCGTCTTCATTGGGATTGGGGGTGAACGCTTAGGGACATTTAGCTCTGTTTTGTTTGGGTTTAGGAAATAGAATAAAATAAATTGCATTGCCTATCCTCTCAGGATAACTGAAATCAGTGTTACAAGTATCCCAGGCACATCGTTTTGCCATTTTTGTAGCATAAACACCATAAAAACGATGAAAGCTTCGGATCTCCCAGTGTTTCTCTACGGCGCTAAAACCTGAAGATGTCTGAATTCCGCTCTCCGTGCAACTGATACTCGACTGCCATTGGCTAGTTTGCATTCGAGGGGAGGGGCTTACCGATAGGTCAATTATGTTCTACTGTCAGGATGTCAGCTATTCTCACCTCAACCACGATACCCAAATCTTTCACGTAGTCTTTTTCTGTCTGGATTAATTCATTCACAACAAACCTACAATAGAACAAACAATTGTTTTTATTAAAGACTTCTGCACAGGCACAAAAGGACTAATCTATAAAAAAATGTGTCAGGTTTAGCAATGCCACACTTGCCTTTAAGGGCAGAGTGAAAGAGAAATTCAAATAAAAAGACCAAACGCCTAGCTTTCCCATAAATATCTCTGATCTTTAATGAGAGCCATATCATTCAGAGAGATGATTTTCTCAACACTGCCTGTTACATGAACATGGAATTGATTCCAGATCTGGTGGCTTTACATGAACCAATTGCATTTTACCAGATGTAACCAGATTGTTTTTTTTCTTCTTTTTCTTTTGCCCCACCAAGTTGAGTTAAGTCTGGGCAACACAGTGGAAACAATCTTGATATTTCTCAATCTTTTGACAATATCTCAATATTTATGTACTCACTCTGAAATGGCTTGGAATGCGGCTTCATTTATTTTTCAAAAAAATATGTAATTTCTTTCAGAAGATTTTTTTCAACAGTGTGTAAAAATTAAAATATAGTAAAAATCTAGTTAACAAATAACCAATATGTTTTCCACACTAGTTCCCACTAAATAAATAAATAAATAAAGAACCATTCATTTATACATTTTAATATAATAATATGGATTGTTTGCATTTAAAAAAATTATATAAACTAAACATAAATATTTACCAAAATGAATAAATAAAACATGAAAAATGCAATGCAATGCACAATTTGCGTGACAACACGTATACATTATATATTAGGTTAACATACCTTGGAGCCAAACTATACAAATATATTTTATAAATAAGAAATTAATAAAGCAATTGGCAGCACAAACAAACAACCCGTGATTTGGTCACTGTGACCTGAAATCAGACTGTAACGTTTGTAGAATTGACTCCCAGACCAAGCCTCATGAGTGAAGAGTGTGTGTCTTACATTCGTCCACGCAGTGCTTTGGCTTTCTGCTCCAGTTCAGGGTTTCTGGGTGGCGCTGGGCTCTGCTCTGCTGGGTTCACTGAACTGAATCCTGGGTACGAGCCTGGCTCCAGCGTCTACAGCAACAGAGACGAGACAAACAGTCAGTATTTGGAAGAGCCAGGCCTGATGTGGGAGAACAAACACAGCAATTGAAGGGTTTATATGCGACATGGCCCTAAACTGCAGTAAACACCATCAGAGCTGCTCGGAAGATTCAAAGGGGAGAAAAGCGTCACTCCGGGCCACAGAGTGAGCCATAATATCCAGCAAGTTTGGGAGGATTTTATTACTTCACCACAAAAGACCTGCAATATATGACAGTTAAGGATGAACACAATAATGGAATATTCCTTGAATGTCAAATATATAACATAACTAAAGCCATCACAGGTGTGGAAAAATAATATTATCTAATAAAAATCTCATAGCCTAGCATGTCTCGCGATGCAATACAATCCCAGTGTGATTTCTCAGTCTGTATTCTATTCTATTCTATACTATTCTATTCTATCAGTTTAAATGCTTCAGTTTGTTTTTATATTATATTATGTTATATTATATTATAAACCTAATAAATAATTGAGATAAAAAAGGGAATTCATAAGCAATAACTGCTACTTTTATTTCAGATTATATTATTCTAAAGAATTGAACTGTTCTGCGTGAGATTTTTTTGAATGTTTTTTAATAGAATTTCTTGGTAAGCAACACAGCACTGTAAAAAAATGTTTTCTCAGGTAAAGGTCAAATGAAATATAAATAGAGCAGTAAAGTTAAGTTACACACTGTGTGTGCTAAACAGGTCTGGTATGAAGAATGTTTTTGCTCAGGTGGCCAATAGAGACAAATTTTGCTCATCAAGAAAAGAAAAAAAAACATTGAGGGAACTTTGTTTCTCAGGACACGTGTTTTAGGGTCTGTCCGATAATAGAGACATTTTATGTATACAGCAGCTCTAATGAAAACTGAATCTTTGAATAGAGCAAGCTGATGGACAATGAACAGAAACCGAAACATGCTCTTAAACCAACACAATGACAAGACTACATAGCACAGATTAGCATGTTAGCATCCTAGCAGGTTCGTCTACACCTATAAATGAGACCAAGAGTACAGTAACAATATACAACCGCACAGAACAAAAGACACGTGCATGTGAGACTAGTGCAGAAGATCTCAGTAGTGCAAGAGTTAGTGACTGTCTCAGAGCAAGAGAAAACAGAAAGGAAACGAGGAAAGCCTGCAGGAGGTTAGTCTATCAAGCCTCCCTGCTCGGGTTCAGTGGCACACTCACCATCTTAGTTTTGACCAGTTTTTCTATAGCACTGACAAGCTCAGCAGCACTGGGGACGTCAGCCGAGCTCTGCCGTGAAGCCAGCAGCACAGACGACTACATGACAGACAGCAGGTGAGGAGGAGGAGGAGGAAAGAACACACAGGCAGATCAGAACAGCTCAGGATGCTGGGTTATAGCCCAGTTTATCAAGCGTTGCTTTGGGGAGAAGAGAAGCGAAGGCCATGCCAAGAACATGCCAAACATTTCACCTCCAAATCAAAAGAAAAATAACTAATTATAGTCTCCATTCCAGATTTTCAAATAGTTGTATCTCGGCCAAATATTGTCCTATCCTAACAAACCATACATCAATGATCAGCTTATTTATTCAGCTTTCAGATGATGTATAAATCTCAATTTCGAAAAATTGACCCTTATGACTGGTTTTGTTGTCCAGGGTCACAAATAGAAAATGAGACCAACTTTTAAGACCTTTACAAATTGTGCAAAGTGACACTGCAATTATTTTTATGACAATTAGTAATTTCTCCCCAAATTCTCATTTTTATGATTGTTTTTAATGGGTAAAACAGATCTAATGTATAACATTTATATTTTACGACAGTATTTGTTGTATACACTACTGTTCAACATTGTGGGGTCTATAACGATTTCTCTATAAAAAGTCTCTTATGTTCACCAAGGCTGCATTCATTTGATCAAAAATACTCTATAAAAGAATCATTGTGATGTATTATTACAATTAATAAACATCTGGTTTCTAAATGTTATGTAATTTATTCTTGTGATGCGCAGCTGAATTTTCAGCATCATTACTGTAGTCTTCAGTGTCACATGATCTTCAGAAATCATAATAATATACTGATTTGCTGCTCAAGAAACATTTCTGAGTATTATCAATGTTGAAAACAGTTGTGCTGCTTCATATTTATTGTGGAAACGGTGACACATTTTTACGATTCTTTGATTAATAGAAATTTAGAACAGAATAAAAGGAACAATATTTATTTGAAATAGAAATCATACATTTCTTTACTGTCACTTTTTAATTCATCCTTGCTCAATAAAAGTATACATTTTTATTTAAGCATGAAAAACATCTTGTGAGAATTGGATTTCTTATTATTTTACTGTACAGAGAGTCTAATAATAATAATAATAATAATAATAATAAATAATGAAAATAATGGGAATTACAAAAACAAAAATGATAGAGATAATCTGGGTTACATTAATAATAATAAATGTCGCAATACAAGCAATCATAATGGTTTTAAAACTAGTCTTTAGTTTCTTAATGAAATGCTTTTTTTAATTTCGATTTTGGAGGGAAATAAGGCCACGCTCTTTTTGAGATTCACCCTGTCAGACAGCATTGGGCTGTAAACACATTACAACTGCAATCGCAAGGCACAGCGTGTGAAAGAGCCAGAGTTGAGTGCAACAGTAAAAGTTTCACAACTACATAATTTAAGCTTCATTGCAACAATAGGGTGGATGTGTGGTTTGTTGAATGTGAGACAAGGAGCCTCCACCCCAGCAGTTACTGGTGACATTGACATCAGGGAAGAAAAACAGTGTTAGTAAAGCCCCTGTGTGTGTGTGTGTGTGTGGGGCTATGAGGGAGGCAGGTGGAGATAGTTATGAACATATGATGAGTGACACAGTATGCATTTAATAAATCTCTCTCCACATTAATAACCCTGCGGACCTCTCCTATGACATGACTCTCCTCACACTCCTCCCTCTCTGTTGTGTGTGTGTACCTTCTCTTCCTGAGCAGACGGGTCTTTGATGATCTCCATTGGTGGAGGGAGGGGAGTGTGAGACTCGTCCTCAGGCTCTTCCTCTCCTCCGCTGTGCATCCCTGATGAAGATTTGGAGAGTGTTCCTTCTTTACGCACTTTCTGCAAACACAAGAAGAAGTCAATCGTGTTATATCAGTTCCCAGTGACTACAGAACAGATCACTCACTTGTGAAAAAGTAGTACACTTTATTGTATTGAATGTGCACTTGCAGTGTACTTCAAATCTTAAAAGCATATAAAAAAAGGTACTTGCAGATTTATTATTCATGAAATACGGCCACTTTATAAGTGTGCGTATGCATTCATGAATAAAAGTGCACTCATTCTAAAAAAAGCACTTTGTAATAGTGTCAAATCAAATGTTCATATTAAAGGGGTCATATAATGCGATTTAAATTTGTCCTTTCTCTTTGGAGTGTTACAAGCTCTTGGTGCATAAAGAAGATCTGTAAAGTTGCAAAGACTAAAGTCTCAAATCCAAAGAGATATTCTTTATAAAAGTTAAGAGTCAGCCACACCTACCTAAAACGGCTCGTTCTAACACGCCCCCACATGTCTACGTCACGATGTGCGAAGATTTGCATAACACCGCCCAAATGTTCACACAAAGAAAGAAGGAGTAACTTTTATTCTCGCTGTAATATTGTTGCCGCCGCAGTGAAAAAGTGAAAAGTGACGTGACATGTGGCCCTTTCCGTCACACGCTTGAGGCATTCGGCCAATCACAACACACTGGATCGCTGGCCAATCAGAGCACACCTCGCTTTTCAGAACGATTAGCTTTGTAAAAATCGACGCGTTTCAGAAAGGCGGGGCATAGAGGAGAAACAATAATGTACAGTATGTGGAAAATAATGTGTTTTTTGAAACAGCATAAACACATTTCATTACACCAAATACACAAAATAATGTTATTTTTAGCAACATCATATGACCCCTTTAAAGTATGTTTTAAATCATAATGTTTGAATTAACTTGCTTACTTACTTAACTTACTTGTTTGAATTAATTTTAAATGCTTTTTAAAAAAGGTTTACATTTATTTGGATGTTGACTAACATACTAAAAAGCACATTTAAAATAGTTGATATTAATTTTAACTATACTGTAGTATGGTATTTTTTTATGGTATTTTCCAACATTGTTAACATATTTGGAATGTACTAATTGCAACTTTATTTTTACGAACATATAATTACTAGTGCTGGGCAATGATTAATTTTTTTTTAATCGCGATTAATCACATGGTTTTTCTGCGATTAATATCGTGATTAATCGCATTATGCACACAATTCAATAATGAATTCAAAAGTAGTGTATTGTGCACCTTTTTCATTTAAAAGTACTGCTATATGAACAAAAGTGCAATAACATTTGGTTTGCAAACACTTTAAACAAATAAGGAGCTTTTTTGCAGCAGTACTCTTTTTACGTAGTAGCAGTTAAAATATTTATTGGAAATCTCAACTTAAACATTAATGTAATCAAATTAAATATAAAACCAAAGCTATTTGCCACTGCCAGGGCATTAACGTTTCTATAGAAAATATTTTGCAGCTTGGCGCGGTTCGTTTAGCCGTCCCTGGCTCGGTTGGAAGAGGTGGGCCAGAGCACGGTTCAGTTGGGCTCGTGCGTGGTACGCATGTAGTGTCGGAGCGCTGAACTTCTGATATGTGCAGCATGATTGCGTGAACATTTCTGAGCGGTAAAAGTGATAGATCTGTAAAGCAATATATTGTGAGAGGGCCGTGTGTTACAGCGTCCCAAACGACTCAAAATAATAAACCACAAAGTTAACAAAACGATGCACTCCACTGTGCTGAGCGAGAGCGCTTCTCTGCTGTCTTCGCGTGCTATCGGAAACTTCCTGTTTCCCACTTATGAAGTCGTGATTACGAGCACGTTGCATTCTTTCCTGTTAAAAAATAACAGTGAACAGTGGTTTGTGAATGTTGATGCTTAGCCTAAATAATTTTATCGGGAGCGCTCCTGCAGTCTTAGGCCCTCCCCAAATGCTCTCGTTGGTTGAGACGCGTGATGACACCCATCCCAAGCCAGTACTGATCAACATCCCACCCCTCCTGTGACCCATGGTTTGTCTGTATGTGGGTCAAAGACGAAAAAGGGTTTAAGCATAAAAACAATAGTTGTAATACTGCTTTAAATTGTTGTTGTTTTTCTAAAAAAAATAAATAAATTCTGTTTAATTTAATTGCAATTTTGTTTTTGTTTTTCTTGAGCAAAAAATAAATATCATACATTTTTCCCTGTTTTACACCACTAAAATGTCATTCAGTGTAACAATCCTGTCAGGCATATTTACAACAAAAATCTATTTATGACATATTAAAAGACTAATTACTTTCACCCCAAATACTAATTAGTTGTAATTTTAAATTTTTAAAATTTGCCACTATCCTAGGTTTTGCCCATTTGTCAGTAAGAATTTTTTACTCATTTAAAACAGAATCAAATTTAATATGCTCCCTTATTCTTTTATATATTATAATATGTACAAGTCAGAATACGCATGTTGTTTCAATTTTTACATAAATATTGTGTTACACTGAATGACAATTTAACATTATTTCAACCAAATTTTGACATTTTATTCTCCAAAAACTTATTCGAAACCTTAAAAGTAGACGCTTTACTTACATTTAATGTGCTTTCTATGGACATAAAATCACTTTTGTAAATTTCTTTTGATGTGGACATCTTAATGTCTTTGACCCACGTGTATTCAGAGCCAGCGAGCAACGGACTTTCAAAATAATAATAACAAAAAAAAACTGCATTAATGCACGATAAAATAATTGTCGGCATTAATCAATTAATGCGTTAACGCGTTAACTTGCCCAGCTCTAATAAATACCAATATATTTAAATACATTATATACATTTCAATAGAAATTACATTAAATAGTTTAGTTTACCATCAATTCTTGTCAGTACATTCAGCAATTTGACTGTGCTATTTTAAAAACAACAGAAGCAAATTTTGAAATTGCATACAAAGATGTACTTAAGTCCTACTTACGTTGGTGAAAAAAGCACTCTTACATTCAACTAATTGCATTTAATACAAATCTAAACTATAATACAAAAGTTAGTCTAAAAAGATATAACTTTTTAAAGTGTATTTTCTGTAATAAGTGTTTTTTGTTTTTAAATTTATGCTAAAATGTATGACTTTTTCACAAGGTTCAATCATTTCTAGAAATATCTTTGAATGTCAAACAGCCTACAGAGAGGCTAATGTACATAATACTTGCCAGAATAATACCTCAAACTGTGCTATTACTTTCAGTGATGAATAACCGTCATAGAAAATTATGAACACCAAAACAATCCTCAAAATATGCACTGCGGCACAGTTTTGCAAGCGTAAGCACCTCAAAATCTAGTTTATAGAACAATCATTGATAATTATGTTGCTTTGTATATTGAACACTGATGTCATACTACTGAAATCATATTACTGAGGACCATAAACGACACGAGGCAACACATTACAGTGATATTATCACACTTATGCCTAACAAAATCCTTTACCTGTGATAAAATCACTGTAACACACAGCCTCAAGTGGTTTATTGCTATATTATTTGGCTTCAGTGCACTAGTTTAAATGCTCAGAGTTTGTTGTTGAAGAATTTGCTCTGAAAGACAGCAGACATGGTTAATATGGGTCATTGTGGTGGGGTTCACATACCCTGCTTGACAAATACAGAGGCTCTTTTGTACCAGCACATTATATAGCGCACAGCTTTAAAAAGTCAAGCTAATCATCACCCTTCCGATCTGAACGGCTGCTGCCGGGGACATAGCAGCCCTTTAATACGCCATTAATACAGCATACAGAACAACAGGCCTACTTTTCTCTGTATGGTCATGATTGCGTAAAAAAATGGTGATGGAGAATGAAGGAGCGGCTATAAAACACTCTGACGTAAAAGCTGCTGTCTACCGTCACCACATGCTGCTACACAAACGTAAAATATTGACAACAAACATTGTTTTAGGGAATTCTTATGGTAATGTAAAAATATTCGGTCACACTTTATTTTAAGGTCCAATTCTCCCTATTAACAAACCATTAACTATGACTTTTGCCTCAATAAACTCCTAATTTGCCGTTTAATAATAGTTAGGTAAGGTAGTTGTTAAGTTTAGGTATTGGGTAGGATTACGGAAGTAGAATATAGTCATGCCGAATATGTGCTTTATAAGTACTAATAAACAGTCAATATGTTAATAATAGGCATGCTAATAAGCTACTAGTTACTAGTAAGAATTGGTCCCTATACTAAAGTGTTACCAGATATTCTTTAAATAAACAAACTATGGTGATGTAGCTCAGTTTGTCCTGACTTCACTGATAAGATTGGACTGGATTTATGTAACAGCTGTTATTGATGTGTAGTTAAAAACATTGTAAATTGTTATTTCTATTGTGACGATCTTTTTTTTTTTTTTTTAAGTGTTGATGTATTCCCTACTGAAAAAAATTAGTTGAGTCTTTAATGGTGAAATAAAAGTAAAAACACCTACGCAAAACAACAAAATAGGCAAAAAGGTGCCGGTCTGGCCATGTGAGAACTGGAGAAAAAAAACACAGTAAATACACTGTATTGCAGGGAGAGTGATTACCATCATGGTTTGGTGGACATACCACAGTAATAATAGTATTGTCTGAAGTTCCTTGGATTGCCATGGTATAAAAATAAGGTGATAAGTCAGGTTTGTAGTATTGTCATTTAATTCAATCAGATGGCTGTAAGCTTTTCCTCAACGTAGTATAAAAAAAAAATAACTTTCCAGTAAGTTGAAAAAATGTACAGTACCTCCTCCAGGGTGTCATCCTGTAGTTCAGGCGGCCCCAGATCTATGCTCTTTCGTCTATCACGTTTCTGCTTCTGTTTGCTAGGGATCTTCTTGATGTTGCTGCCGTGACTGAGGCGCCGGACAGGGCTGGTCAACCACTTCTTCAGTGTATTTCCAGAGCGCTTGGGTCCAGGGGAGCTGCTCTGCAGGGAGTTCAGGGATGCCTGTGGCTGCAGTGTGGTCACAGACTCCGTCTTCCCTTCTGGGCCGCTAACCGCATAGTTTTCTGTAGCATAAAGAACAGAGAAGGGTGACTGAAAGTAAAGTTCATTATGAAGGTGATGATCAGGCCTAAAACAACTTTTAAGGAATACTTCAGGTTAAATACAACTTAAGGTTTGCAATTTCTGCGTCACTGGCATTATTAGTTGGATTTGTGAAAATACTAGTAGGGAAAAACAGGATTCTCAAATACTCCACCCATCCACCCAATGACCAGAAAAACAGGCAGTCCCACCCCAAACTAACACCTCTGGTTGACATTATGGTTGGGATACTCAAACAAACAGAACAATGTTTTGAAAGCACCAAAAAGCCACGGTGTTTATGCTTTTCGGGGAGCTTACAGACTATGGGCAGCATCTGTGGCATGTTGTTGATTACCATATTCCACAGACTCACCCCTCAGATTGTTAAAAAGAAAACAAGCAGAAAATACATTTACAATAATAAACATACAATGGAAGTCTAACAGACAAGGAACCTATATAAATTCTTTAGTAAACATGTTTATTACGAGAGTTATTAAGTTTGAATTAATTGAATTAACCCTAAACTAGTGAAATAATTATTTCCTCCCAGTCTCATTCAACATCACTTAAAGGGGGTCATAAAGGGGGTCATTTAGGGGGTGCTATTTTAAAGATCATTATTTTGTGTATTTGGTGTAACAGAATATGTTGACATGCTTTAATGTTCAAAAAACACATTATTTTTCAAATACTGTACATTATTGTAGGTCCTCTATGCCCCGCCTCTCACACGTCGTTTTCAACAAAGCCCCCTCCTTTGACAAGCACAGTCTGCTCTGATTGGCCAGCTGAACCAGTTAGGCGTGGCTGACTCTTAACTTTTATAAAGAATATCTCTTTGGATTTGAGACTTTAGTCTTTGCAACTTTACAGATCTTCTTTATGCACCAAGAGCTTGTAACACTCCAAAGAGAAAGGAAAACTTGAAATCGCATCATATGACCCCTTTAAACAAGTCATTTTCAATCAGCTCTCTTCTTTCCTGTCACAGAAAAATTTGCTTTAGTCAGGCATCAAAGGAGAACATTCAATAGAGACTCAGTCCGGAAGCTCTGCAGTTGGCAAGACCCACTTTCAGATGATCAATCATCTGCTTTTGAAACCAGACTACCAAATCCTCCTGTGTATCATCTCAAGCCTTGGTTCCTTGGAATCTGCACTATGTACTCATTCAGGGTTATTTTGGAGAGCAGGGGTGTTTAAGTCACATTAATTTTCCACAGGGGTGCCTCAGGGTTCAGTGCTTGGCCCCCCTTTCTTCTCAATATATACATCAACACTAGGACCTATCATCAAGTTTCTATTACTTTTTACGGTGTTCAACAGCATTCTCAGAGAGTATAACTAGACAGGTTAATCTGTCTAAAAGGAAATTAAAATGAGGAATCAAAGTAATCCAACAAATAAAGTTTTCAGCAGTATCACCAACAGATGGACTCAAGGGCTTAACCTAGACTGTATCCTTCAATCAGACACAACTAACAGAAGTGCAGCACAGGAAGAACTAGCAATGCCAAATGTTTCAAATCTAACACCAGCCCAACATTAACCAACTCCCGCTAACTGGAAACCAAATATCACAATTCACTGTGAATAATGATAAACAAACATTTCAGATAAGAACTGAAAAACACCTACAGAGCATCACAGTACTGCTATTCTCTTCAAATGTAACACTATAACACATTCGTTCAAAGTTATTGATCACATTCCACAAATGCAAACCACACACCTAGCAAAGTCAATATTCTTGTGGTGTAGAAGAAGCTCAAGCAGACATTACCCACAATATTAAAGCACATTGCATCTAACTCTTTGACACTGTAACTGTTATATAATTTAAAACAATTGTAGGCTATGTAACAAAGTCTTTTCTGCTGTGTGTTCAAAAATTGGTGATCACTGAATTACAATTAGTTATAAATTAAATCAAATTTAATGCATCACATTTGCACAGAAATGCACTGGTATATTATGCATAACATAACTGCTAATATCAGCAGGTTTTTAAATTATCAAATCATGCACTATTTAACGTTAAAATTTCAAACAAATTGACATTATATCTCACCGAAGCATCACTGAAAACATTCCATATATTTTTCTCTCTTGCGCATGCAGGCCTGATTCATGACGAGACCAAGTATCATTACCAGCAGATTAACTTGTTCTCCAGACGCCCATTGTGTTGATGACATCTGTGTGTGTTGAGTACGGCCTTTAATGGCTGACTCATTAGAGGAAGTGACCTTGTGAGAGTTGGTCATAAAGCTTGTGATGAAAACATAAGTGAATTTCTGCTACAACACACTGATTCAGCAGAAATCACAGCTGTCTGAACTGAGCATCGTGCTTAAACAGAACGAACACTGCTCTTCACACATGCAGATCACACTGTTCTGTGTTTGTCTCACCAGGCTCGATACAACACGTGTGAGCCATTCACGAGAACCAGTCATCACAGCAGTGTGTGTCCTGCTGTTTGATGGAGTGCATCCCATCAGGTGCTGCAGTGCTTTTTGAAGAGTGAACCTGCGTAATACATAGACTGACTGACGACAAGTGTGCAGTCTTGTGAGTGTGTGATTATGTGTGGAGTAAAGAGAGGCTTTACGGAGAGCAGTCATTAAGCACTACCCTTTACACATACACTCTCCTCTTGCTGCTGCCTCAGTAACTGAGAGACAGACAGAGAGGGTTCTTTGTTCTTTTAAGTGGTCACATCACATTTCCACAGAAAGCAGCATCTGGATCATATGACTACTTTTACTACAAAGCAAAAGGAACTCGCCATTGACACATATCAGTGTCCTGCTCCTGCAGGAAATATTGCAGAACTGAACAATGGGACATAACATGTATAAATATGCAAAAATTCTGAATAAAATTTGACTTTGGCAAGTATATTATAATGGCCCAGTTTCACAGACGGGGCTTAGCTTAAACCAGGACTAGGCCTTAGTTAAATTAAGATATTTAAGCAGCTTTTATAAAAATGCCTTAGAAGAAAATGTTACATGTGTGCATCTTGAGACAGAACAATGGAACTGACTTTTTTTTTTTAAGATATATCAGTGCAAGATATTTTTAGTTGAGACAGCTCAAACATGCATATTAATCTGGGACTAGCCTTAAACCATGCCTATAAAACCGGGGGAATGTGTTGTAAGTCTGTTACTCTTCATTTGGGTAGCAACTTTATTAGGAACTGCAACATTGCATGCACTAAGTTAAAATTATAAGTGTGACCACCTCAGATGAAAGTGCCATAAACAATTCAGACCAAAACGATATACAGGAAATACTCTTTGCTGTTTCTCTTATACAACTTAATTTAGACAAATATCTCTCACATTAAAGGGGTCATATGATGCGATTTCAATTTTTCCTTTCTCTTTGGAGTGTTACGAGCTCTTGGTGCATAAAGAAGATCTGTAAAGTTGCAAAGACTAAAGTCTCAAATCCAAAGAGATATTCTTTATAAAAGTTAAGAGTCAACCACGTGAAAGCGAAACTACTTTGTTTGGTCTTCCAAAAGAGGACGATATCTGCTTCGTCATGCCTGGAGCTGATCCGTGCTGGTCAGGAAGGAAATACATCAACTTTGCGCTGTAGATCGCCGAATTGGCTTTCACCGTGGGCGAAGCAGAGTCCAGCCCGGGGTCGTCACATGTGGTTGCCGCAAGCCCTCCGGACGCTCCTTCGTCGAATCCGCCGGCCTTCTCTCACTCTAGCCTGCCGTGTGTGTTTAGTGACAGAAGCTCCACAGTGCGACAGAATGACAGTGACAAGACAAAACACAGATAATAAAAAGAGTAATATACAAATATACAAAACAGACAATGTGCAAAATGGCAAAAATACAATATACAAACTAGACAATTTAGTATGTACAGGTATGTAAGATGCAAATTAAAATAAGTATGTGTGTTAAATAAATAAATGTATAATAGTGTTGTGTGTTCTACATTTATTGTCAAGTGTTCAGATGGATTGCCTGGGGGAAGAAACCGTTCCTGTGCCTGGCCATTCTGGTGCTCAGTGCTACCTGGTCTCATGGCAAAAACATACCTGGGGGCCATTTTTTGCGAGACGCGAAATACGTGCCAATAAGTATATATCACTGCAGTTTCCAAAAGAAATTAGCACTAAAGGCAGTAAAACTCCTTTTATTCCTTTTCACACAAATTTACAGAGTTTTGATTAATAAAGCATAATTTTCACACAATTACTTGAAGAATATTATGCTATGACTTCAAAACAATTTTAATATGCTGGGAGATTTGAAAACTGATGCTTTTGAATGTTAGCATCGCACATATCCAGCTTCATATCTATAGGTTTTCATAGACGGTAGGTTTGCTCGGTAGCTCATGGAGTACGGAAACGTACTTGAGAAGTGAGGTGCTCCGTTTCGAATCCCGTGTAACTACGGTTCAACAAAACAGTTCAAATCTGCATATACGGAAGTTCAAATGGCACGGTTGCATCAACAAAGGCATTTTTATATCGGTTTTGCATTTGTTAACACTATCGGGTAGGTTTAGGGTTGGGTTTAGTGTAGGGCATATTTCCAACACGATAGAGCATTAACCTTTAGCGACAGTCCTTGGATATTTGAATTCTGAACCGCCGCAATACGTACCTGAAGCAGCGTAATAAACACACAGCAATATGTACCTATATCAACATAATAAAAACGTGCCAGGGTTCACGTATTGAACCCGTGTTTTAGCGCCACTCAGTGGACATTTCTCTTTGAAACTGCGGCGAAACTTGCAGTAATGTACGTAAAAACGGTGTTGCAGAAAAGTACCCAGAGGTATGGATTTTTATGAGACCAGGTTGGCTCAGTGCTCTGTAGCGCCGACCAGACGGCAACAGTTCAAAGAGGGAGTGTGCTGGATGTGAGGGGTCCAGAGTGATTTTGCTAGCCCTTTTGTTCACTCTGGATGAGTGCAGTTTGAAGAGTTTG